GAAGTGAAATATGAAAATATCTCATGGATGTGTTTATCATCTTTAATACTTTTGCTGTAGTTTAATAACTTAAGCTATTATATTTAAATAACTAGGTAGCTATTGGCTCTTTATTCCAAAAAATCATCAAGTAACCTTTTATAAAATTAAATTAGTGAATAATTTGATGAATTTTCCCTTTGTGAAATCCCAACATTATACACATACAATTAGTGTAACAACTTTTCACCTATCCATGGCAGGCACTGAAAATCTCATAATTTCATTTTAGCTAACTTTACAATAGAAAATAACAGTTTAATAACTAATAGTCCTGTGATCCATAATTATTTATAGGTTAAATATTCAGATGTACTTTCAAATCTCTCTAAGCATATATGAACCTTTTGGTTGTCAGAATGACTAACTCCAATTTCAACATTCATTATTATTAAGTTAAGTGATGTTTCTAGTGGCAAAATTTATATCTTTATTCACAGTTCTATATTTCAACATAGATATCATCTTCTCTGGAATCAACTTGCTCTCTGCATGTATAGATATAAGTTTTCCAACCTGAAATATCACTAAAATTACATTCCTCAAAAATGTTGAAATTGGAGTTAGTCATTCTGTCAACTGAAAGGCTCAGAGACTGAAAATATGAGGTTTATAAAACTAGATTTTTATTACCTACAGTCGACATAATAAATAGACTTTGTAATTTTAATGGTCTTAATGATTTGTTATCTGTAAGCTTTAAGCTTTAGCTCCGTTTAAAATGCACTTAAAAAATTTTAAAATACCCCAACATTGCCATAAAATAATTTCTATTCAAAGTAAATAGGTAAGTGAAAGTTGAGTGTTTCCAGTACCAGATTTTTTTTTATAAATCAAAATAATTCAAACATAATATGGCAAATAAAATTTTATATTTATTGATGGTTGAACAGATAGTATGAAATACTTTTTAAAAACTAACATATTAAAGTATAACGAAGTTCCAATTAGTTTTTATAGTTTTTTTTATTAGGAGTTTCCACTAATGATTGGTTTCCTTAACCTTATTTTATTTTATTTACACCCTACTCTGCCGATAAGGCAATACGGGTTTTATGCAGTAGTGAGTAGCAACGCATGCGTTACAATTCACTGCTCCATTCAGACCAATTACATTTTTTACAGCTGTGCACACAGCCTGCTCTTTTTTTTCTTTTTATCCAGCATCCTGTTCCACCCTCTCTGGCGGTCTTCCGTATACAGGTTCATTTCTTCTTCCCAATGAAAAGTGGTTTGACCCAACCAGTTCCTTCCACCCGTATACGAATGCCTTGTAATACGGGTATTTTTCCTTTGTCATAAGTTGAGGGAGATCGCTCTCCGTCAGAGCGTAGAGCCCCGTCTCCCTCAACAACTTAGCCCTCAGTGCCTCAAAGGTGGTACAGACTAGGATGATATGCTCGGCGGTCTCCGGCACTCTGCAACTTGGGCATAGGGGATCGATGTTCTTGCCATATTCAAAGAGCTTTGCTCGGAAACCCCCATGCCCTGTGAGGAACTGTGAGACCCAGAAGTCCGGGAGAACCCATGTTTGTTCCATTCTTGAACCAACGGTGGGGAAGTATTTTCTTAGCGTAGCCCCTTTTGGCGTCGTCACCCACCGCTGGTTCCATTCATTTAATGTGTTCTCCCGAAGAATTCTCTTCCATCCATTAGGGTCTTCACTGATCCTCACACGAAGATTCGCCGGTAGATCCGCCAGGCCTTCCCTCTTCATCTTATGCCGAAAGTATTCTTCTCGTAGGAGAAGATCAATAGGAGTAGTTCCGGCTAAGACTTGTACCGCCTCATGAGACACTGAACGGTACGCTCTAGTGACCCCAGCAGAGCCATCCGCTGGATTGTTGCCAATCTTCTGTTGGAGCGAGAGATGATGACTCCATGCAGGTGGTTTCCTTAACCTAAAGTGCTTGGATGGCTTCTTTCCATAAGGTCCATTCTTCTCATAGACCATGGCCCATCATGGATTCTTCCACTTCATTATCCCAGGTCTTCCTCGTCTTCTTCTTTCTCTAGTTTTCCTTAAGTGGTCTTCTTTGGGTATTCTTCCTTCAGAAATTTTTTTCAAATGTCCATTCCACTTCAAGCGTTTTTTCTCAATTTCTTCCAAAATGATTCTTTTAGCCTCCATCTTTTCTCCGATTTATCTGGTCGTATTTCTCACTTTATCCATTCTGGATATTTCTGCAGCTCGTCTCCAGTAGTCAATTTCTGCAGCTAGGAGTTTCTTCCTGAGGTTGCTTTTTAAGGTCCAAATTTCAGACCCATATGTCATAATGCTCAGTACTATGCTATTATAGATATATTTTTTTTGTTTTGGTGAAAATGTTCCGGTTCCATAATAACAAGTTGAGCATTGATATGGTCTTTTTGTCATCTGAAATTTTTTTCACTTTATTTCCACATCACATTCACCACCTATTTTAATTTAACATTTAACATATTTAAAGTGTATTTCTAAAATATTTTTAGAACCCCTCCTGGATTCAGTTCTATATCCTCATTATAGAATGTCATGTGCTCCATTTTCTCTGCATTAATAACTAGTCCCCACTGCTGATATTCCTCGTTTAATTTTCTTAACATATATCCAGCATCTTCTGAGTCCTGTGCAATGATGACCTGGTCATCTACGGAGGATAGGTTATATAGGAACACATTTTCTTTCAACTGAATCCCCATGGGTTCACATTTTATTCTCCATGCTTTCAAACAAATGTCAAGACAAATCTTGAACAGAGGAGTGGCAAAACACCCCTGGAGCAATCCTTAGCTTGTTGGAAAAGGCTCAGAACCAACTAGTAATAAATAAAAAACAGCTGTAGATAATTGTATATAAAATGATAAACAACAGACAATATTTAATAAAAAAAATGTAAAAGAATATGAAAATAATTAAAACACAAATTTACACATAATTAAGAAATTTAAATTTAAATCAATCATTAATGAATCATTCGATGAATTTTCACATTGTGAAATCACATTATCCACTTATAATTAGTTTAATTACTTTTGACCTATCAATGATGTATTAAAAATTGGTAAAAGACTAAATTTGCTCTCAATTAAACCTATTTTCAAAGATCCACCGTCAGAACATAAGTTGTAATTCACATTGAGGTTTTCTTTTCTTTAAGAGTCTATAACTGGTGCACTTACCTAACTGCCATGACTTTTAAACAGAAAAAATATTGCCTATAGAATTGAACTCAAGATAAAATAAAAGTTAATATTTTATTCGTTTGCTTTTAATGCATTTTTCTTGTCGATCAAATGACTTAAATTCAATACCCTCAAAAACATAAACAGACGAAATTTGAGCAGCATACTGCAATATTTCCGAATAAGTCAGAGCCGATGTCCAAGGAACCTATAGGTTCGCCTCAGTGTACGGTGGTCGGATCTATTTTATTCATTCAAATTATTTTATAAATTATCTTTTTATAATTCATATAGTAATTTATAAGATAGAAGGAAATTAAAAAACAAAATAACTATTTTATGAAGTACTTTATTGTTTATAAATATAAAATATACATAACAATAATTAACATGTTCATTTTAAATTAAGAACTGTGGTGGTAAGAAATGTAGATGATTCTCAGAAAAATCTCAAGAATATATGTAATTGAAAGTAAATCGGAAAATGCACTACAACAATTTTGAAATAATTTATCAGTCATCGTGAGATACCAATTAATAAAAAAAAAATTGACCTGAACTCCGAATTTGGGGCTAACATTTCAAATTTCCAACTTTATAAACTGGTGGGAAGAATAACACAATATTTTTATATGAAGTGGTAATAAAAAATCAACCAATTTTTTTATAGTGCATTGCAGTGTTAATTTGAGAGTTAATTGAAGTGTATTGCAACGGTTCTTAGCCTAGGGCCCGTGCACCCGTGAGAGTACGAGAGAGCATTTCCATCGGTGCAAGAAAATAGGAACGACCCTAAAACCTCTTAAAATTAAGATTTTTTAATGATAACAACAACGACCTAATTAAAATTCAAATTTGCTTTTATTTTCTATAATAACTAGGGGGTACCGCCTGATGGCGGACCAACATCCATTTTATAGTTTATACAACCGTTCATGTAATTGTACAACCCTAGCTCAAATTGTATAACAGGAGCCGAGTCGGCTAATGGGTGTGTCCAGCATCGCGCGTTGAACGGTACCTGTTAACCGAAGTTAGACATATAAAAATAATTACGAACTCAAATAAGAGTTCAATTTACGGTGATGGGTGGGACTTTTAACTGGGTTTTATTTTCTCGTCTTTTCCGCTGACCCGGGAAAAACCCCGTGTAGCTTAAAAGGCAAGGAAGAGGAGAAAAAAAAAATGTATAACTGTAATTTGCATGTTTTCTGTAGTTAATATTATTTTTTCAATATAGTGTATGCCGGAAAAAAAATAAATTTCAAGTCTTAATCCCAGCATTTTGATCTGTGGATATTGGAAAATAAATTATTACATTCACTAAAAACGTTTTTATATAATAGAGGGGTACATATATATTGTAAATAAACATAGCTTTTATGCAATAAATGTTTTCCGAGCATGTAAAAACAAGCAATAGTGTCCCAGTATTGATAATATTATTTAGATTATTCTATAACAAACAAAATCCTTAAAAAAAACTCATAAAACGTATAAAAAAAAAAATAAACTCATGAGTTCAATTTTAAACCGAAGTATGAATCATATGTTTCCAGTTAAGGAATTCATTTTTGGTAAACAATGGGATTATATTTATCTCTGTATTATATAAAAACGCTGCAAATTATTTCACAATGGTTTATTATTTCCAAACAATTGTACATCTACAGTAACATTACCTTCCTAGTGACAAAGAAAAATAAATAAAAGGTGATTCCAATTATTGGACTAGACATTTTTTTTTATCATTAATAATATGCTAAAACATTAGCATTACTTCAGTAACACAATCAAAAACCAAAAGAAAGGATATAATCTTGTAGAACACATAAAAAATATCTAGAGATCTTATCTTTACTCATAATTGTCCGATTTTAACTAGTTTGTTTTTGTTTGTTTTTTTAGGAAATTCCGTAAACTTTTAAATAACCATACCATATCAACAAAAAAGTGTATACTTTTTAAGTTGTTCGAAATCTAGTTTTATCACCCCCCGTAACTTTTTTTCCAGCTTCTTTTCGTTGAAGTATATTACATAGATAAATTTAAAGGGCATCGTGAAGAAGACTTTAGCGAAGTTTCATTGAAATTGGTACATTCATTTAGGCGCTACAGTCTATAGCAACGCAGGTTTTTCGGTCCACATCTTGAAAGGCAAAGGTGGATAGAAATATCGATGAGGGGGGATCATCGGCGGATGACTTCTAATTTTAAATCCAAATTTGAAAAAAAAAATCGGTCCAGTAGTTTCGAAGAAAATGCGCGGACGGCGTATGGACAAAAAAAAATGTATTCGTTTTTCGAATTCTACGTATCCTGAAACGTAAAACCTCAAATTTTGAGAGGGAGTTAAGTTTTTCAATTTTTTGTTCGATCACAATGGTTCGTTATTGAAAATAATAAACCAATTTTTTTAGTGACCATATAATGTTTTACATATAAGGAGGAATAATATTATACATCCTATTAATGACAATTTTGTAAGATACTTGATGGTTTGATATTTTTGTCATTTACTGTGGTCACGAAATAATCATAATGACTTTAAAAAAATTGATACTCATCACCTAAATATATTGTACAATGGACACGATTTTTGAAAATTTTCTGAGAATCATCTATAAATTGTGCTAAAATGTAAGTGTGGTTTATACCATTCAGTGTATAGAATATCAAGTGAAAACAAAACATTGAGAAGTAATGCAGATACAATTTTGCATACGAGAATTAATTTTTTTTCTTTTATGAATTATTATCACAAACTTAATGAATTTTTTATGGTGATGCTTTGGAATAATTTTCTTCGTTACAGTAGACTTTCACGTTTCTGATCCAGTAGGTTTAATATTTATTTCACTTATCTGTAACAATTATCATAATTAGACAAATACTTCTTAATTTTATTAACTTAATTTTATTAACATCTTAAATTAATTTTATTGACATCTTAAATTAATTTTATTAACATCTTAAATTAATTTTATTAACATCTTAAATTAATTTTATTAACATCTTAAATTAATTCTATTAACATCTTAAATTAATTTTAAGTATTATTTTATTCATTTATTAACTTTAAAAGGTTCAGACAACAGTCCCATTCATTCCATTGCACTTTAAAAATATTTCTTATACATATCCCTTTTTACGTTGAATCTACATTGCATTGCCTTGGTTCGATACAACATAAATTACTTTTTAAAAAAATAATAAAATGAATTTCAAAAAGTCATTTTAAAATATACTTTCTACTCCCGATTTCATCTTAAACTACATGGACATCACAACGAACTGGCCACAGTTGACATGCCCATCAGTAGACGGCTTAAGAGGAGTTGGATGAGATCTTCTTTCCTGAATTAAGGAAGTAGACCAAGAACAGGGAGAGGCGCTGCTGGGTATTATTTTTCTTCATGCCAATTTTCATTAAAATCACTAGCGGATCCAGGATTTAATTTTGGGGGAGGGGCTTCAGCTCCAAAGATTTTTTTTCATAAAAATAACGATAATTAATTTGGAAAAAAATAAAGAAACTAACTATCTATATGAAATGGTGTTTAAGTGATTCCTAAAGTCCTTTTAAATGTAATTAATTACATGAACAATAATACTTTATGAAATAATTTTTTTATATTTTTTGCCATAAAACATGGTTATATTTTACCATTTTGAGGGGGCTTCAGCCCCAAAGCACCCCCCGTAGATCCGCCCATGATTACAATGAATTCACATCAGCTTAATGCGAAGTTTATGACAGATGTGGGTAGTAGTATGAAGAGAAAAAAAATTATAATAGGTCGTTATTAAATATGTAATAAATTATACAATATCTGAACAATGTAATGTTTACAATAGAAAATACAAGACGGATTTTAAACCATATATTGGTATCTACCGCGAATATTTTTATAATATTTATTTTACGTGAAATTCTTATACATGAAATAATTATATTGGTTGAAATATTTATTTCGTACGAAACGTTTATTATTTAACATAAAATACCTGATATAATTGATCAATTTAGAGTATGATGATGAATTACCTGATATCAAATGATAAGTTAGAGCAATTATGTCTAAAAATATTATGTTTATAAAATATTTGATTTAAATTATCAAAATTAAAACAGAATCGCGTTTTTAAATATTTCTAGCTTTTGAATAAATACAATATTTTACTTTTGATAGTCAACGAATAAAATTGAGTAAGTACATCAGTAGACAGATAGAACTCTTCTAGTTCTTATAGATCTATAAGAGTTCTTATAGATTAATAACAGCAGAGAAATATTTAAAATTTTGTTAATCGATTCCGATTGCATCATATCAAGTTTACGAGCTGAATAAATGTAAAATACCACAAAAAGATGAAAGTTTACGTTCTAAAAGTGAATTGATAATTAATTTTATGAAATTTCATATATGTAAATTTTATTTTATTTATAATTATTTTAGTGGCTCAACAGTCATCTATCATAAATCATATTTATCATATGTAATATTTCATCTATCATAAATGTAATATTTCATATGTACTCGCATAACTTTTAAAAGGAAAAAATATTGCTTATAGAATTTAATTCAAGATAAAATAAAAATTAATATTATATTTTTGTTTTTAATTCATTCATCTTGTTGACCAAAAGGCATGAATTCTTATTCAATACTCTCAAAAACATAAACAGAAAAAAATTGAACCAGTATACTGCAATTTCCAAGTAAGTTAGAAGTCCGATGTCCAACAAAGCTTTCGATCGCCCCAGAGTAAGTCAGCTAAATTTTTTTTTTTATAACTACAAAAACTAGATAAACTGTTTTATTTATTACCTTTTGGAATTTGTGAGAATATTTTCAGTTGGCAAAATGTACATTATTCACTGTGTTTATTCATGAAAATCTAGTCATTTTGTTGAATTTCTTGTAATTTGGAGGTTTCGTAAAATTGCTAGGTTTGAGCTGGAGGTTCATATCTTTTTCTTGAAACTTTGGAAATTTTTTTTAGGTGTTTCGTTTCCTTGAATATTACCTAGTAATGTTTTGTAGACAAATATCCCAACATTTTTATTTATTATACAATTGTTTTTACTATATGTTTAAAACTTGAATTAAATTAAAATTTTAATTAGATGAATAATGTAGCGTAAAATAATACATATTAATTCGAATAAATATTTCAAGTTGAAACAAAAAAAAAAAAAAAACTGACAGACATATTAGTATAAAACCAGAACGTGAAAAACAGAATTCTTTTTCAGTTCCAGAAAACAAAAAACATTAACAAAGATTAACTAAATTATCAAATAGAATATTTTGTTATAGACCTGGATAATTGATTTCAAATTCAAACATGTTTATTTATTAATTAATTATTACTTACAGTTACATTTTCTGGAGATCGTATTATGTATTCAATGGCAGAAGCTATATCTGTAGGGCTGATACTTGGATATTTATCATAAATTATTCTATCCATTTCATCTCCTAAAGAATACTTAAAAATTTCTGTCTTAACCAGTCCTGGGCTTACGCTCTATAAAGAAAATAAAAAAATAATGAAAAGTATTGCCAGAAGGCATTTAAACATTGCGATGTTTCAAGCTCAGTATTAATGTATGAGTATAGAGGGAGGGTTACCTTTGACATAAAATATAATCAAGAAGTTGGTTGGAGGTCCGGAAAAGAGAGAGGGATGAGAGACTCACCAGCCTTAAGCAACTCACACCGACCGAACATAGGAGTGATTGGCAAGCGACTGGTTGATTTTCAAAGAGGAGAGTTTTAAATGTGAATAAAGAGCGGATTCTAAGAGGGAGGGAACTTCAAAAAGTGGTATAGCGAGCAATTAAAGAATTTCGTAATAAGGCTAATCTATGAAAAGAGATAGAAGGATCAGTGGATCAAGATCGCATGTTAAAAGAGTAGATGGAGGACACTTGAATTAAAGAAAATCGTAGGTATAGGAAGGACGATGGTTATTGATTATTTGGTAAAGTAATGTAACAAGAAAATATCATCTCCTGTAGAAGTATGATTAACCAAATAAAAATATTCACAGATAGATAAATAAATCAAAGATAGATAAGTTAATTAAGACTGTGGTAAGTATTGTATGGACCTTGGAACTTTGTATGGCGTAGTTAGGAGGTAAACATACTAAAAGTCCCAACTCCTAGGGTCAGGCTAGTAGGTATCAACGAATGTTCGTGTATCCGAATTCAGTACACGTCAAGCACACACCATGAAACAGTAAGTTCAATTCTTATTCAGACATATCGTTCAATAAATGAGTGTTCAAAACGGATGATGGGGAGGAGGATGGGAGAAGGACAGAGGGAAAATATACAATTTTTTACTTTAGGAGTTTGTAGAAAAAATAGGGCCAAGTCAGGAGGAAAAATATTGAAAGTCTCCATTCCTTGGAGATGAGCAAGAGGTGTTTCGAAACCCAAGTTTTCGCTTATATCAGGGAAACTATACTTCCTAGCGATAAAGACGTTCTATACAAAATAAAAGCTGATAAAAGTTTTATCATGATTGATAATAATTTTTTTTTCTCACTACCTCACAGAGTTTTCCAGATATTCTTGCTCAATATACGCTAATTTTGAAAAACAAAGTATATTTCCCTCTCGTTTTTATTCACGCTTGACTAGCCAACTCTTTATACGTTCTATTTATTTAATTTATTTTTCATTGACTGACCTATATGTCTGAATGAGAGTTGAGTGTACTGTTCTGTAGAGGTTGCTTGCCTTGTATTGTATTCGGGTTATCGGACATTCGTTGATCCTCACTAGCCTTGCCCTTGGGACCCTCGTAATCGTTAATTAAACATTGAATGAGATCTTAGCTATTCATATTTTTATTTTAATTAGCTACTTACACAAATCCTGATTGGTACATTAAGGTTTCTAACTTCCTTTCTTAGACCTTCAGTAATAGCTTTAGCTGCATGTTTGGTAGCTGAGTAGAAATGGAAAGGTGCATATGAAGGGACGTGGTTAGCCAAGTTACTAATTTAAAAAAAATATTACTTACTATTAATAAATACTTACAGTGTATATTACAAAAAGTATTTATTTATTCTGTAAAAAGCAAAGTGGAATATAGAATTAGTTATTTATTACTAATAATCGAGATAAAAACAAGAGGAAGTTAAATTAAATATTATGAAACAGATTAATAATTTAACTAATTTATTTCATTAATAATCGTATACAATATTTTAATGATTAATAATGAAATATTAACAATATATATTATATCTCGTAAGCAAAGGGAAATATTTAAAAGGTTGATTGTAGACATCAAGATCTACAATAAAGTTCATATAAACAATTGCCTAATTTCCAGTAGAAAAGCAGGAAATTCAAGAGTTGTGTTTTTTTAAGCGAATCACGTTTTTTGTTGATTAGAAAGCGATAACATAAAAAATATTTGATTTAAGTAATTAAACATTACTGTATAATAAACTACACAAAAATTATTTTAAACGAAAGTAGTGTTTTTCATTGTTAAAATTATTTAAAGAAGATAATTGACCGGAAAAACACAGCTAAGTTCCATTTAAAAAAAATTATAAATTATTTGTGATTTCTTTTATCACCCATCAATTGTACTACATTAATCCCTCTTCTAGACGAACTTTCTCGTTTAATAAGCAATAAGTCCATATTAATTAAGTTGATGTTTATTTGGAAAAATGTTGAGATTCAAGTTGCATAAAGAAAAAATGTTTTCTATCCAGTCAACTTGAAGTATTCGTCTTTTCATCTAAAATGACTGACTAATTATAGCATACTTTGTTATCTATAATTACCTTGTAATATTGATAACGTGACCTCCAACCTCTCTTCTTCTCATACTTCGCACTGCCTCCACCGCACAATGCGTAAGGGCAACAACATTTACCTCAAAAAGCTTTCTCCATTCTATAGGATTACCATCTAAAACCGTTTATATAGTTAAAACTTATCAAGTGAAAAAACTAGATTAATATCTGATTTTTTTTTTTTTAATTATAATCTAAACGAGAATAATGTTGGTAATAAACAATCAGTTTTTCAAGAATCATATATTTTATACAGACGTCCTGTATCTTGAGATCCTGGCTGTTACGATTAGTGTCCATTCATATCGCACTAAATGCTAAAACATCTATGCTTCTACCTCCATCAAATTAGACATGTTATCTCGCAAAAGATCGGGTAATTCAAATTTATTTTTATATAGTTAGGTATGTGATGAATACAAAAATTCAGGTTTCCGCCCTTGAAAGACTTGTGGATTCGCTGCAGGGCTCCGAAAACCATTGAAATTTCAAATTTTTGTTTGCTCATGCTAAATATCTCCTTTTTAGAGCACCATAGATAAAAAAATGGTTATATTAAATTTAAAACAGCTTAAAATTATCTAACATTTTTATACATAACATTTTTTTTTTTTGTACATAACCCAACACGAAGCGACCTATTGACTTAAAAATTTTTTATTTCTTAACAATAGTGCTCTCTCAGTTTTGAACCGAAGATTTCTGTAACTCTATTTCGAAACTCATCCAGAGAATTCGGAAGTTTTCCTTGAAGACAATGAGCCATTTACTGTAACTGTGGACCATAGTCCATAGGTGTTTTGAGAAATAAATTATATGATGGGCAATGTTATATTGCTCAATGAAACAATTTTTAAAAAAATGATAGAAAATAAATTTTGTTGACAAAAATAAAATATTATTTCATTTTTATTTTCTATAATTTTTTTAAAAATTGTTTCATTGAGCAGTATAGCATTCAGCCGCAATAAAGACAATATTTACAAGGAGAAAATAGCTCATTCATACCTAGTTTACAGAAAATATAAATGAATAAAATAGAAATTAAATAGTAACTAAATTATTAATTAATTGAAGAATTAGAAGCTAATACATAAATATAGAGACAAATATTTTACCTAAAAGAGAAGTGACGCCTCCTATACCAGCATTATTCACCAAAATATCAATTCCTCCAAGATTCTCTTCAGACCACTGGAATGATCTTGTAACATCAATATCATTTGTAAGGTCAACTTCTAATGAGTGCAATCTTTCATTGAGACCCTTAAAATAAATATACATAAACATTTATATCCCGGGATAGTATTAAACTATTTTAAATATATAATTAATATAATTTTGGATACAAGTTAGGTAAACTAGGATTATATTGGAATAGTCAGTACCAACTGTAAAGACAGTGTTAATATTTTAAAACACACACTGTAAATAACACAAAAACTAAATCCAAAATGGACTGATTAATCAATTTCTTTATTAATTCAAAGGGTATTTATTTGTTATTTTATATTCTAAAAACCATCTAAACAACAAAGTGACAGGTGTGGATATCAAAATAACAGTAAATAAATACAAAAGAAAATAGGTAAATATCCACACTAATAATAATTCTTATAGACCATCTCTAATACATTATGATTATTAAAGAAACAAGTTCAATATTGTTCACAAGAAGATATAAAATTTTTCCATTTTAATAATCCTTCTATAAATAATGTGGTCTGATATTTTTACCTTTTTAAGATCTTTTTATTGAGAAATAATACATTTTTGCACACTTAAGGACATTGAGTACTAAAGCTGAGTGAGGCACATTCATACCATATATATAATACAATAAAAAATAAAAAAAATAACAAAAGCAACAACTATAAAACCAAAGAAATGTAATTTTAAAAAAAATACAGAAATTCGTAGCCAATTTAATAAATTATAAGTAAACCAAATAAATAGATTAAAAAAAAAAAGAAAAACTACTGATCACAGATAAGCATTATGTGATACTTTTACTTAAATCATGAATATCGATAACATATTTAAAATATGCTATTCTTAATAGATGAAATTTTATATTCCTTGTGCTCAATATTTATCCTGGACCTGTTCTACAAAGTAGGTTATGTACCAATGTAATGAGGTTTTTCTCAATTTTAAAAATAAGTATCCTGTTAAATGGATATTTTGCTTAGTTTTAACTCATTTCATCAATTAAAAAAAATACTCTAAAACATTATCAAACCTTTAGGTTATTAATGTTCTTATCCAGGGCAATGACTGTCATCCCAAGCCCGAGCAAGTGTTCAGTCACTTGGAGACCAATCCCAGAATTGGCTCCTGTTACCATAGCTATGTGATCTTTTAGTTCCATTTCTAGAGATGGTCTATATCTGTGAAAAGATAATTTTAATCATTGAATTACGGGGTTCATATTTTAAGACATATCTACAGTAATTTTAAATAAAGCATTAAATTTTTTTTCAGCTTTTTTGAGATATTTCGTCTGATACAGTTAGCAAATTCTTATCCAATCCAAAAAAATCCATCAGAATCAATTTCCAAGATAACTTTTTAAGGGAATGGATTGAGGGCTTTAATTGGGGAAGGTTGTAGCCATAAAAGGACGATGATTGTTGATGGTTTAAATGATGAAGTACCTAGGAAATATTGTCTTCGCAACGAAGGGAAGAGCCACCTTAACTAAGTTTAGTGGTGAGAGACATGGCAGTATCTCAAGGCCCCAACCACGAAGTGTGTGTGTGTTTGTTTAGTCTACCACGAAGCTCCATAGAGAAACAAACACACACACACACATATATATATATATATATATATATATATATATATATATATATATATATATATATATATATATATATATATACATTCATTGTTTCATTGTTAGGTATATTATATATTTCTGGATATATCTATGTATTGTTAGATGAACACATAAAACACAAGTTTTCGACATTAAATACTTGTGGGTTCAGCCAGTGCTAAAAAAGAACTTTTTTAACTTGTGCTAAAATTTCGGACTTGTTTTGCTTTGTGGTAAATATCTTCTTTTTAAAGCGATTCAGCTAAAAAAATATTATATTCAATCATAAAGAAATTAAATTTTTTAGAAGAAATATGTTTTTCTAAAACCAAAACAAACTATCGAGCTTTAAAAGTGGTTAACGTTTAAAAATTAGCCAAAAACATGCATATATATTTTTTAGCTAATTGTTTAGACAATTCTTAAATACAATATATTCATATATAGTTGAGGATTATCGACCTCCTAAATGGGCAGACAAGACTGGTAAGGTGACTGACAGGATTTATTTGAGAATTAGGATCAAGATCATTTGTCGCCCTGGATCGATTTATTTGGTTAGGAATTCATCACAAACAAAAATCTTTCATTGAAAAGATCATTAAAAAAAATAGTAAAAATAAATAAATATATTTATTTTTATTTTTTCCGACGTTTCGGTATAAAATTCAGGTCTTCATCAGGGCTGGTCAAACGAAGGATGCCGCAAGACCAAAAATCTTTGGTATTTGCCTAACCATTAGCACGGGCGGATCTACGGAGGGGGGAAGGGGCTTTCGGGCTTAAGCCCTCCCCCAAAATGGTAAAATATAACCATGTTTTATGTAAAAATATATTAAAAAATTTTCTCTTAAAGTATTATTGTTCGTGTAATTACATTTAAAAGGGCTTAAGAAATCACTTAAACACCATTTCATATAGGAAGTTAGTTTTTTTTCCAAACTAATCGTCATTTTTATGAAAAAAAAAAATCTTTCGTGCTGAAGCCCTCCCCCCAAAAATTAAATCCTGAATCCTGGCCCGGAGAACTCACAAAAAAACTTCTAGTAAAGTAGTCATAACTTCGGAATATTTTCAAAAACTAAGTGACAAACAAATATGTAAATGGTTATTTGACTATGCTTGTATTTTGGTTTCTTGTTTTTGATATTTTCTGCTGGAAATATATTCCAATATTTCCTAGGCACATTCCTTTACCAAATAATATATAATCATCGTCCATCCTACGCATACAATCTTTTTCAACTCAAGTCATCTATCCACTCCCTCTCCACAAGATCTCGTCCTTCTGACCTGTATACCCTAATTCTAATTCCTCCATACAATTCCATCAGACACTGGGTAGTTATTTATTATTTAACAAGGTTTCATCAAGGACTTTGCCCCAGAATAAAATTGATTGTTCTATTCTATGTTATTAAGAGACATAAGTTAAAATAGTTTGGTTAACAAATATTATCGCTGTTAGTTAGGTAATTGTGTTTTGCATAGTTTGTGAAATGTTTAATGCACTTTTACAGTCTAGTTTATAAAATTCAAATTACCTAATGTTCATGAGAATGAGGCAAGGCAACGATTAATATTTTTTTTTTCATTTTTTCAAAAAATATTATCTATTCATTTAAAAGATATTAATTAAGTAAAAACTTTATAAGGAACCATCTTCCAATGGAAATGTCAATAAGTAGGGTTGAAGAATCCACTCTCTCCGCAACCTTGCCCCTGACCCACTCATTACCAGATGCATTACATAAAACGCTTGTTTTGACACGCTCCCGCGTGCTTATGACATTTAGGATATGGTGAAAATAGAGGGGCGGACCAAGCCAAAAGGAAGCTATGCCTGTCAGGCATAAGCAATAAATATCTCCCCCCCCCCATTTCTCAAAATAATTTTCAAAAAAAGTTTAAAATTATATATATGTCTAGATTCATCCGATTATTTTCAAAAAAAGTTTTTTTAAACATTTTTAACAAACTTTTTGTGCTATTTCATAAACAATGCTTTTAAAAATGATCATGCTAAAACGTCCAAAATTTCCTAAACTTCAATAAATATGTTTTTTTATTTTTTTCCCAATTAAGTAATTAGAATTTTAATTATTTATCAGCAGCTTTAGAATGGCAGACATGGCTAATTTTAAAAATAATGGTATAGACTTAAATAATTCACATTGGAATCTTTTCCTGAAAAGAGTACCAAAGTCTAAAAAATCCTGAGGATCTTTGTTATCAGTATTATTTATGATACTTCGTCCGCAAATATATAAATTCAAACTTTTTGACATGGTTTCAACAGAATTCGTCAATTAATTTTTTTTTCAAAAATTCTTTATATCACATTGGAGCCTTACATCTTAAAAAAACAATTATTCGTCTGTAGATCGAGGTGTAGATATTTCAGCGGCAATTCTTTGATTTAGAGTTCAAAACTTTTAAATAATATTTGTTTTTCTTTCTTTTCTTTTTTTTAATAATATAATTAGTTTAAAAATCACATTGCTATTTGGTTTTGCATGAATAAGAAATTAGTTTTAAAAAAAAATCTTTCCATTCCAGACATGTGAAAAAATAATAATGTCTGATCGACTTTCACATGTAATAATTATCACCATCATTATTAATGCCGTGAGGACATTTTTCTCTGGAATAAAATATTCTTTTAATTTCAATGTTATTTTGTGGTGTAATTTTTAAAGAAAACAATGTACCAATAATAATTCATTAAAGCTTTGGTAATAGTTGGCTAAAAAATATTAAATTACTATATAATTATTACTTGATAAAGAATAGGCAATCAGCAGAATCTATGACTAATTCCTAAAATCTTGATCGCTTTAATAGAGGTATCATCAATAAATTAGAGCTAATTCACTATCGAGATGTATCACTAATTTTAATTCGAATCACGTGGCTTTATGTTGTAATAATAGAAAGTGTCCATGAATAATATGTACCATTGTATTCCTGCTGAAGGTTAAAAATAGTTACTAGTAGTATAGAGATAGCTGCCGATCTTATATATTTAGCCCTGCAAAGATATACAGTTGGGTTCACACAGTTGATTCCGACAGAATTTAGGAATAATTTGTTTAAGATAGAAACTACTCAGAATCATTGACCTTTCAAACCTATGAATATAACCCTTTCCCTTTTTGACGTCATCATTCGAGCCCCTTTTAAATGCCTACCCCTAAATTTTCGAGGGCAGTTAAATTTTAGACACACATACTTTGGCAGCATTACGGCAACCATTGTAAGTCATATTCCAATGCTCTTGTAACCTCACTTCAATCAATGATTGAACTCTTATAACTTCAACTTTGATAAAACACAAGACCAAGCGAATCAGCTCTTTGGACGTGACCTTTAGCAGTTATATCAAGATAAAGCAAATTTAGCGTAGATTTAACAAGTTTTAATCACGTAAATAAAGATTATTTCAGTCAGAGTGTATTTTCTTTTGAATTATCTTCAAATCATCCATAGGATTGGGAAGAGCCGTAACTCTTCAACCTGGTGGCAGCGATTTTAAGTTTTTCATTAGAATTTAACCTTTTTTACTGTCCTAATACGACAGTATTAAGAATCGAAAATTTTCACTCAGGTTTTACTTTTTTTTTTCACATCAATAAATTTAGTTGTATGTCTTTCTGAAGGCATAGTTAATTTGGCCCAAAGTAATGGATTACTGAAAAAATGGTCAAGTAGGGATCAATTTTATCAAAAGTCAATCCACTATTTATAAAAGATGCTTCCGCTTACCTATATCTCGAAAATGAGGTGGGCTATTTGACCCATATTTGATGAAAATTTTAGAAATAGTGGACAAATGGTCTAATATCAATTTCATTAAAAAATTAAAAAAAATGTTCCTAACTATTAAGAATATTGATTATTGCAGTAGGTAGTAGGCGGTGAAAAGATTGCTAGAAAGTTTATATCATCGGCTTTTTTGTAAAAAGTCATTATATTATATTTAAAAACTTTAAATAATTAGAAACTTCGATGAATTTTTATTTTGTAAAATCAGAATTTTTTTCACTTACAATTAATTTAACTATATATGACAAATAAAAGATTTCATCTCCTTTCATTTCGTGTCATACAGGTCCCCCTACTATATACTGGGATTAGTTATAGTTGATATTATATTTTCTTTTCATAGGTATAGCCCAGGTAACCAATTTACTATTTGATCTAAATTGGTGGCTTGCAGGAAAAAGGCTAAAAATCAAATTTAATAAGAAAAACAATTCTATTTGCGTCTATTCAATTATGAATATTGGTATGATTATTTATTCTACTATTTTGTGGAATGCCAATACAGCTATAAGATATGTATCTTTTGAATGAATCTAACGAATTAACTTGTGAAATACGGTGAGTTCTTCCGCTCTTCTTTGTGGTCTCTTTTGTCACTACAAAATATAAATAAATTAACAATTAAATAATGAAGCAGGGACAGAACTAAAATTTTTTACAGCTTAATTTTGCCGCCATTCTTTCACATCCCGAGGCATCTCAGTACACAAAGTGCACCTCAATACAAGGCCACAAAAGAAAACATATAAACGGTAAATATTATAATGATAAAACACAATATCAAATTACATTACATGTATTAATATAATTAATGATTAGCACTGTATTCTTGTGTAAAATACTAAGCCACATCTTCGGATTTTGCATTATAGGTGGAGACTTGATTTGTGAGATGAGCTGGAGAAATCCGAAGAAAGTGCAGAAAAAAACTCAAAATGTGCAAAATATGGCAGTAAAAGTCCAAAATATGTTAAATTGTGTAATTATCACCTAAACGTGCAAAATCATCAAAGTTATTTAATTTGTAATATTAATACATCGAAATCTTATCAGATCTTGTGTTATTCTTCTGTAGTAAAATCATGTGTAACAAGATAAAAAAAAATTAAAATGCAACATTGAAAGTAAAATTCCAAATTACAATTAACAAACGACAACAATACATATGATAATACAATAATAAATTATAATTAACTTAAATCTTAAATAAAGAGAAATTTAAGCAATAATAAGGACTGCATAAACTAACATAGACCATTTTCCATTAGTTAACAACGAAATTTCAATATAAAGCACAAAACACTTGGATGAAATATCTATTCTACAGAATAAGGTCATAATAATTAACAGACAAATAATAGGTCATATTTGTTTGAATTATCCTTAAATTGGTTAATTGGTCAATTGACTGTCATACAAGGAACGAGATAATACAGAACATTAAAGGTTTAAAGGAATGAATTATAGGTGTAGACTAGACCAATTTTAGATATTTAACTTATATTAAAAATAATATATGTAAATACATAATTATGTACAGTCCACAATAAAATGAAAACATTATTGCTTAACCGAGTTGAAATTTCCAACAAAATACGTTTCAAAACGTTTTTATTAAATATATTAGTGTTAAAGCTGTTTTTATAAATCACTAAAAAAAAATATTTTAGGAAATTGTGCTATTTTTTATTATTTATTTATTAGGTAATATAATATTCCGTCACACAAATAATAAATTATAGTCAGGTAAGAACACATTACCACTATAAAATCAACAAATAAATAATCGTCAAGAAGTATAAACAATAAATAAAAATTAAGATTGGTAAATATATATATATATATATATATATATATATATATATATATATATATACATATATATATATATATTTACTAATCTTTAAGTTATTTAATTTTTATATATGTATATATAAAACAGACATACCTGTGTACTATTTCTCGAAAAACTAATATTTTACCCGCTACAATCAGTCTAAAAACTATTATTTTTATACAAAATGTTTTTTCTTTAAACAAAATAAATATTTTATTTTAAGAATTTTCCAAATCAGAGAATGGGGTAGCTTAGTGGTAGGGCACTGATCTTCCAATGCTCAATGTCCCAGGTTTGAATCCCGGCTCATATTTATTCTGTTTCATCAGCCGTGGGTTGACCCTGGGGTCAGAAGACTCTCCAGGGATACACTCAGCCTCTATAAAGTGGGCACCCTAAATTAAATAATTAATGAAGGGGGAAAACCTGATCTTAGTTAAATCACCTCCTAGCACAACCGTTGACTAAGAAACAGTACTTTCCCTAAATAGTACTGAACCCAAGACACTTCATGGGTTGTAGCGGTACAGCAAAAAAAAATATATCCAAATCGTAACAAGTTTATTGAATAATGATATGAATGACACATTGAAGGGCAAAAAGTAGTCATACATTTTATTTCATAATACTACATATACTTTATCACCAATCACTAAACACAATTATTCAAGCAATCTCTACCCTTTATCAGTGCGAGATTATTTTCTATAGACCGGCTTCCAAGTGGTTTTGTCCACAATGAGATGTCTATCTAACAGTCTGTTAATCAATCCCGAACCCATCATATCAAATTCACGAACTCAGTTTAAAAATTAAGTTAAAAGTACGTTCTCATAGGAGTTTTCAAGTGAATTTGATTGTAACATCGAAAATTAATTTTATGAAATCCCTTTATATATATATATATATATATATATATATATATATATACACACACATATATATACAATGACTTACATACTGCAATGGACGAAAAAATGCTAACTGTGCTAATAATTCTCGACTTTTCCAAAGCTTTTGACTCCTTAGACCACTCTATATACACTAAATTAAATTCTCTATTCTTCTCCAATAGTTCTATTCTTTGGTTTCAGTCTTTCTTTTCCGACCGGACTCAAGCTGTTAGCATTCCGAACCAACGGCTATCTACCCTTTACACTGTTCTCTGGAGTGGCCCAGGGTTCGAGTATTT